CGAGCAATGGTACATACGACACACAAAAAATGTATTTATATTTAAATGCTGGAGTGCTCTAACGACAGCCACGTGTGGGTTTCCAGAAATAACACTATCACGCTTTAATTCCATCACGAATAATTTTTTCTGGAAAATTCTCACCAAAATGCTTTTGTACGCTTGTAAACAATATAATGAGCTGTCACTGGAATAATTTTAACAGCTATCGGACGAGTGGCTTAGAAATGACAGTAGTTTGAATTTGGTTGCAGTTTTTTTTCATAAGCTGTCGCTGGAATAATTTAAACAGCTGTCGGACGACTGGCTTAGAAATGACAGCAGTCTGAAGTTGGTTGCAGTTTTTTCACTTCACCCTGTATATATGGGAGCTATATTTAAATGTGCATGGATCTTAATAAAATGTGGCAGAGGTATTTCGTGGCTGTATCTGATACCAAATATCATTCTTTTTGTGTGCATATTACGATTTGGAGGGACTTAAACACCAAATCGGATGAAACATACATATATATGGCACCTAAAGCTATATCTGAACAAATTTTCACCAAATTTGATGTCCTCAGATCATTTGGACTAATATTGGCCATTTAGTGCGCAATTAAGCAGAAATCGGTTGAAGATATATATGGGAGCTATATCTAAATTTCTACCGAGTCTCACCAATTTCAACAGGGTTCGTCCTTGAACCAAACAAATATTGTTTGGAAGTTTTCATCTCAATCGAATAATAAATGCGACCTGCATTTTGTTCACAAGAATTCATGGATGGACGAACGGACTGAAATGCATAAATCGACGCAGAAAGTAATTATACGACTTCTATCAAACAAATCGACAAATACCTAACCACTATGTGGTGTAGAGTAAAAAAATATTCACTGTCTAAATGAGTAGGACCTACACAATATTTTTTTAAGTTGTAGGATTTTTTACTTCAAAAAAGCACGATCACGATACCCCTGAGCTGTTTTTTAACGAACTGAAATGATTTTTTCTTCCTAATCGCATAATTTGCTTGGTGATATAGAAAGTAAAGATGTTGTTGTTTTATTTCAAGTGTAAATTAGTTGTTTGGTTTGATTTTTTGTGTGAAAGAAATATTCTTTACTAGATAAATGTTCTTTATATATATATTTTGCCACAATTGATGGAAGTGTAGCCAACCATTTCAACAGAAAGGGGACGAATCGCACAGACGGCTACTCGCACCAATCCCACATTGGATGAAAACATTTATACGAATCGAATCGAGGAAAAAGCATATGTGAATTATATGCCAAAGAGAATTTCAACAAAAGCAGAAAATATTTCTAAATATCGTAGTCACTTTCAAAGCACGTCGTCGCCACGAGTTTCTGCCGGAGAACAATTGTTTGGCTGATTGTGGCGACTGTAATGTGGTGATGTGCGTCATGCCAACCACGAGAGCTTAATGGGTGCAGTTGAAGGAAAAAACCAACGGGGCATGGAAGCCATGAAGGGAGCAGCCAGTGGATAGTGAACAAGTGCTATACTAAGTCAATGCATGGAATATTGCGGATGTGTGGTTCTTTGTATTATTCTATTGATTTAAACGAATAAGTGCACAAGGGCTGCAAAAATGCATTACGAACATAGGCAAAACAAAATTAGCAAAGAACACTTATTTTACAAAAATATTTTATGATATAATTTTTATACCATACATTTTTATATCGAGGAATTTTTATATCATCGTCATTCGGCTTGTAACTCGTCGAAATAATGAATTTAGACATAACAAAATATATATATATATTTTTGATCAGCGTAAAATTCTAAGACGATTTAGTCCTGTCCGTCCGTTCGCCTTTCTATCTGCTGTAATAATGCTAAAGTCAAAACGAATAAAGATAGGAAGCTACAATTTTGCACAGATCAGTCTTTTGTCTTAGGTAAGCCAAGTTCGAAGATGGGCCATATCGGTCCACGATGCCGTAAAGCCCGTATATAACGGTATCCCCGATATTCGGTATTTTGATGATTGTAGCCAATGAAATTGTATGAAAATCAACAAAAGGAGTTCCTTCGGAGTACCCCTGGAAGAGTATTGTCTATATAGGTCCACGATATTGTATATCCCCTATATAACGGTACCTCCCCATATTCGGTATTTTGATGATTTAATCTACATTTTTCAATGGAATTGCCTAAATACCCAGACTTGAAGTTATTTCTAAGCATTTACCCCCTGGAAGAGAAATGTCTATATAGGTCCACGATATCGTATAGCCTACATACATCGGTACACCCAATGTTCGATATTTTGACAATATTAGGGACACTATTCAACGGTGTTGTTTCCAATTTCGTATTTAGAATTCATAATCGGTACTACAGTCTATGACAAAAAATTGCATATGCAGACCCACGTCTTCGTATAGCCTCCATATAACCGTACCTCCCAATACTCGGTATTTTGACGAAATAATTGTCCATGCAGGTCCAGATCTTCGTATCTTCTTATCAGTACCTCCCTTTATTCGATATTTTGACTATTTTAGGTACAATATGCGCCGAAATTGTTTAAAATTTCATATTTGAAGTTCCTACTACAGCCTGTGACAGAAAATTGTCTATGCTGGTCCAGGTCTTCGTATAGCTCCGATATGACGGTACCTCCCTATTTTCGGTATTTTGATTATTTTATCTACATGATCAACGGATTTTTTTTAAGTTTCATATTGGAAAATTTCCAAAATTGTTCCAAATGGTGGAGCGTATTCAAAGTTCGGCCCGACCGAACTTAATGCTTTGTTTACTTGTTTGAATTGAAATTGATATATTATTTAAGATACTCTCATGTTATCAAAGTAGTATCAAAAATATATGCCTTTTATAGTCTTAAGGCTGAGGGTATAAAAATTAGAATCCTACGTTATATGTCGTTTGATCCGGCCAAAATGTGCCTCATCGTAATAACTGTTTTAGGTCCAAGGTCTCTTTAAACCAAATCCGTTTCAGTGCATTTGGAGTCGATCTAGCGATTTCCGTCCGTCTGTTTGTCCGGCTGGTGTGCACGATAACTCTCGAAGGGAGTACTCAATTTGGCCCAAACTTGGTACTTCGTAATATTATTATCAAACATATATCGAGTTCAGAGCTGGAGAGCATCGGTACCTCCCCCTTCTAGTACCTCCCCCACAAAATGTTAAAATTGTCTAAGAAAATCACTTACTGCCCAGAAAGAGAAGACATAATCCGATTTTTTTCAAACTTTGCAAATTCTGGTATTTGTATCCGTGCTAGGTCAGGACAATGGACAATATCGGTGTATTCCATCAAGTGTCGAAATTTAGAAATATTATAAATCTAGTAGAATGTGATGTAAGAATCCGATTGTCTTTAAATTATCAATTTGTGGGGCATAAATGGAATGTATCGGTCCACTTCTCCTCCTCTTCTTCTGGTACCTCCCCCACCAAGGGTTGAAATTTGGAAAACCCTTGAAATTCACAAAACGGGAAATTAACTTTCGATTCCATTCAGACTTAGCACATCATGTATTTCTATTAACACAAGAACTGTCATAAAGATGGTAGAGATCAGACCACTTCTTCTGGTACCTCCCCCACATTAATTCTACGAACTCAAGATTTGCTGTGAAGATGGGATATATCGGTCCACTCCATCTGGTACGTCCCCACAAAGGGTTAACATTTGGAAAATCTATGAAGCTCATAAAACGCGAAATTAACATTCGATTACATTCAGCCATGATACATCCAAATATTTATCAACACAAGATCTGTTAAAAAGCTGGTAGAGATCGGACAGTTCCTGCTGGTACCTCCCCCACAAGGGGTCAACGTTTTGAATAACCAAAACGATTATAAAATCCGATATAAGCATCCGATTCTCTTCATATTTCATACGTCCCATTATTTCTATTAATATATAGGGCCACTCCTTCTGGTACCTCCCCCACAAAGGGTCTAAATTTTGAACATCCATGAAGCTCATAAAACGCAAATTAACATTTGATTCCATTCAGACTTGTAGCATGTCAATATTTCCATCAACACAAGATCTGGTACAAAGATGGTATAGATCGGACCATGTATTCTGGTACCTCCCCAACATAGATTTCAAGATTTAAAAAATAAATAATTCTCAAAAAAAGCAAAATAAACATCTAACTCTCTTCAAATTTCACACATACACAAACATTTTGGCTAACACAAGATCTGCTGTGATGATGATATACATCTGCGAACACCTTCTGGTACCTCACCTTCAAAGGATCACAGTTTTCAATACCTTTATTTATTAAAACTTGCGAAATAAGTCAGCGATTCTTTACAACTTGCCAAATCTAACCGGAAACCCCTCTTATCCAGAAATCTAATATAAATGTTGAATTTATGATTTTGCATAAAACTGGAGATAAATGTTCGATTTTTTTGTAATTTTGTCCTTACTAATATTTTATCTGTATTAGAAGAAGCATGGAAATGGTATACTTCGGTCGATTATATGTGGAACCTCGCGCACACTTTTAACATTTTCTAAAAATTATCACATATCTCATATAAAGTGAAGGAAGTTGACTACAGAATCCAAACCTGGAACGTCGCAATATTTATCTCATATTTATTTAGCTCCGGTAATATTAGCCCAGGACAATATTGGCCCATTCCTTCGAAACCTACTCCATAGAGGGTCAGCAACTTGAGTAATCATAACAGGAGTAAAACTATATTTAAATAATCGAATATTGGCTGAGGGTATACATCTGTCGGCAAAACCGACTCATACTTTTTAACTTGTTTGAATTAGAATAGTTTGTTTTTTAAGGTACTATCATGTTGGCAGTATCGAAAGGGCTAAGGGTATAAAAACTAGAATTTTGCGTTGATTTTTTGTTCATATTTCGTTCATCATTTGTGTATAATGAATCCACATTGATAGATATTATAGGGAATTTCTAAAGAACCACTTAAACAATAGAGATATTCTTATTGGCACTAAAAACTCACCTTACGTTCCTGTTCATCTTTCGCCAGTTGGCCACCACCGCTGACATTGTTATTCTCGCCATCACCGTCGAAGGGAGCTGGTGTTGTCGGGATATCACATTCTTCTGTTGGTGGCACTACACAGCGCAACGAATGCCTATCGAAAACAAGCATGGCCGGGCAACGTTGTAAACGTGGATAACCGCCCTGGCATTGCCAATAACGGTTGCAGGATTTGCCCAAAGGAACATTGCCGTTGGGGTCATCATTGCAGAGAGCTGGTTTGGTTTTTTTTTCGGAAGTAGAATCATAGACGTCCATTCATTTCATCGTTCAGTATGGCCATGGAATGTAGATGTGAAGGTGTAGATGCGGGGTGGTTGGTTGGTTCCAAAAGAATATCGGCAGCCAAGAAAAGGAAACATGTTGTATGGTATGGTATGGTGTGGTTGGTTGTGTTATTGATGTTGTAGACCATGTTGTGCCGAGGAACATCGTTTTGTAGCAAAGAAAGAAATACAAAAAAAAATGTTAGTAAATTTACATAAATCATTGAAATATTTAAAACCATTAAAATGTTCATTTAGCCAATGCTGCCATTACACACACATATATATACACACAAAGGTATGCTGTTACATACATATTTTCGGCATTCACTAGCACATGAAACTCAAGAGGATTCCTAAATATTTGTTTACAATATTGTTAACATGCATTTGAAATTTATTTAAACATTTGTATGAAATCTATTTAAGGAGATGTATTTTAAAGTGTAATATTGAAGTAGAGCTTTAATTTATAGTATACTAAAATATCTATTTAAACGTGTAAAAAATTGCCTCCGAGTGGTCAGGACGACAAGGATGGGACTAGAAGGTGTTTGATATGAAGAGATTTTGGGAAATACGTACAATAAAGGTCCCACAGAAATAGAATTCCTTTCTTTCCTATCTTTAATCGAGATCTAGAGTTAATAGTAGGATTGAGATTTAGGAAATGTAAACGCCATCGGACTGTTGTTTAATATTTTGTAATAAAAAAGGAAAAATTCAAAAATAAAAAACATAGTTTTTTAATAACCTTAAGCCAAGCAATTAACCAAATAAATTTTGGAAAATATTTTGATTTTTTTTTAATTTTAACTCATTGTGAAGGAGGTACTAGAAGGAAAGGCTTGATTTCGCACTTACATTTACATTTTTACATTTTTTATACCCTCCACCATAGTATGGAGGGTATATTAAGTTTGTCATTCCGTTTATAACATCTCCAAATACTCATTTTAGACCCCCACATACTCATATATTCTTGATCTGCATACATTTCAATGTTGATTTAGCGATGTCCGTCCGTCTATCCGTCTGTCCGTCTGTGGAAATCACTCTAGCTTCCGAACGAATGGAAGTAGATTGATAAAATTTTGCTCAAATGTATGCTTTGTCTGCAGGACATTTGGTATTGAAAATGGACCATATAAGTCCACTTTTTGGTATAGCCCCCATATTACGGTACCTCCCAATATTCGGTATTTTAATGATTTTAGAGAATTTATTCACCGGAATTGCTTCAAATTTGGTATTTGAAGTTCATAATGGATACTACAGCCTAAGACAGAAAATTGTCTGTGCAGGTATACGTCTTCGTAGAGCCCCCATATAACGGTACCTCCCGATATTCGGTATTTTAATGATTTTAGGGACATTTTTCACCAAAATTGTTTCAAATTTGATATTTGAAGTTCGTAATGGATAGTACAGCCTACGACAGAAAATTGTCTGTGCAGGTCCACCTATTCGTAAAGCCCCCATATAACGGTACCTCGGTATTTTAATGATTTTAGGGATATTTTTCACCAAAATTGTTTCAAATTTGGTATTTGAAGTTTGTAATGGATACTACAGCCTACGACAGAAAATTGTCTGTGCAGGTCCAAGTCTTCGTAGAGCCCCCATAAAACGGTACCTCCCGATATTCGGTATTTTGATTTTATCGACATTATAAGCGATTTTTTTAAGTTTCGCATTTGAATATTGTGACGGCTTATTACAAATGTCACCTACGCAGGTTCATGTCGTCGTAAAGACCCTAATATAATAGCTACATTTGGTATTTTAAAGATTTTAACAGAATTTTTAACGGATTTTATTGTTTTTGAGAATTGCCAAATTCGTTCCAAATGGTGAAGGGTATTCAAAGTTCGGCCCGGCCGAACTTACAGATTTTTTACTTGTTTGAATTTAATTTAATTTTTTTTAAATTTTCAAAATTTTCAATCCCAATATACCTACAGATAAATTCTCAAACTATATAACATTTAAACATTTTGTACAATTTTACATTTTCAAATGCTGTCAAGTCTTTAGCACAGTGAGTTGGGCACTTAAGGGTACAAAAAGTATTTAAAAATAAAAATCAAACTAAAAGTTCATTGTTGAGATACTTAATTTTTATATTTTTCAAGTTAATTGACCTACGAGGTAGGTGCATTTTTGGATATTTGTACCGTAAGCCTATGAAAAGTACAAGAGGCCAAGAATGACGAAACATTGTCAAACATTGAAAAAAATTACATAAATTGCATCAGTACTACTCTTGTTTGAGATTTTGCGGGATTTTTTAAAAACCAGAACCTTATGCGCGTGAAACGTACAAAATGGTATAAATAACTTTTTTGGCGATCGGTAAGAGTTAACATTTTATAAACTTTAATGTGGAGTTATATTTGCAGCTTGTGTCTAAAGAGTACGAGAAGAACTATAGAGCAACAAGTACAGGGTGAGATGAAAAAAACTGCAACCAATTTCAGACTGCTGTCATTTCTAAGCGACTCGTCCGACAGCTATTAAAATTATTCCAGTGACAACTCATTATATTGTTTACAAGCGTACGAAATCATTTTGGTGAGAATTTTCCAAAAAAATAAGTTATTTGTGATGAAATTCAAGCGTGGTAGTGTGATTTCTTTATATTTGGCTGGAAAACCACAAGAGGCTATCGTTAGAGCACTCCAGTACTTAAATGTGAATAAGTCTATAGTGACGGAAGAAAACAGCAACATCAGAAAAAACCGGGTCGCAGTGGCCGAAAAATGGCTCGTGAGCTGAACGTATCGAAATATTCCATTCGGCAAATATTAAAAACTGAGCTCGGGGTAAAGCCATATAAATTCCAAAAAGTGCAAGAACTTACACCGCAACTCACCGCAGAAAGAAAATAGACTCAAAAGAGCTAAAGAGTTGCTTAGCTTGGCCGAAAGTGGTGAACTCCCGAATTTGGTTTTCACCGATGAGAAAACATGGTGTGGGCCCCCATAACAGCCGATGAACGCTCTTCGCTCGTATTAATCGACCGTGGCAATTAAATAAACGCTGAATATTATCGCGAAAATATTCTGGAGGGTGTATTAAAGCCTTGGGCACGCAAACATTTTGGCCGCAGACCTTGAATATTACAAAAGGACTCAGCACGCGCCATCCAAAAATGGTTTCAAAATGAGGTTCCTCGCTTCATTTCCAGCGTATAATGGCCACCAAAATCTCGGGAAACCAATCCGTTGGACTATTGTGTCTGGAGTATTTTGGAAAGCAAGGTTGGCACTAAAAAATACCAAATTGTCGATCACCTCACCGCTTTCTCCGCCGGGAATGGGCCAAAATACCGCAGCGTGTGATGATTTTTCGGACAGCGTGTGATGATTTTATTGGCCGTTTGAAGGCCATAACTATGTGGCAAAGAACTATTTTCCACATTTTTGGTAAAAATTATGGCTTTTGATATTTGTTGCAGTTTTTTTATCTAACCTTGTATAAGGGTTATATACAGTGGTGGCCATGAGGTTAGCACACTTCATACTTTCTGTTTTCTAAAGCAAATTATATCACTTCATTGCTATTATAAACTAAAGTTTTTGGTAATTAGTGTTGTTTATGGTGTGATCAGTAAGTCCCGTTACTTTTTTTTTGCATTCTATCGCTATTCTCTTTCAAATTTACAATTTATTGCAGTAATGTGTAAATTAAGCTGGACACAATTTTAGCACATATAAGTATAATTACATTTTTTGAAGGTATAAATATTAATTGGTAAGTTTAGGTAATATTTAATCAATGAGGAAGACAAACTGACTTAATGAACATTATTTAGATATGGCTAAAAAAAGTGGTGTACAGAGGAACAACGAAAGATTATTCAACAAATGAACTCGAGAGGAACAAGTATAAGTGAGATTGCTAATACTTTGGAGTGTTCCAGGAAGATGGTTTATAATGCACTAAGACATATTCAGAAGTATAAAACATCTCAAAATGTTAGACTGGCTCCTCGGCCCAGGAAAACTTCACGTAAAGAGGACTCTATAATATACAGAGCGTCTGTCGAAGATCCTTTTAAGAGTTCCACCGTAATCCAGAGAGAAATTTCAGGAAAATATGGTATCAACGTGTCCAGCAGAACGATAAGACGAAGACATAATGAAAAAAATTTACGTGGATGCATATCTCAGCATAAGCCACATGTTTCAAAGAAGAACATACAAGCTCGGTTGTCCTTTGCTCGTGAGCATTTGAAAAAACCGTTAATTTTTTGGAAAAATGTACTTTGGAGTGATGAATCTAAATTTTGTAGATTCGGATCGGATGGTAAAAGGTATGTATGGCGTCCTCCGAACATGCAACATAATCCAAAGTACACAAGTAAAACAATAAAACACGGTGGGGGTAATGTGATGGTGTGGGCAGCATTTTCTGGGTATGGTGTTGGTCCCATAAAAAAAATTGATACTCGTATGGACCAGTATGTATACCAGAATTTACTTCTAAATACAATGATACCTTATGCAGAGGACAACATGCCACTTAGGTGGCGATTTATGCAAGATAATGATCCAAAACACACCTCACGCTTAGTGAGGTGTTGCTTGGAATCGAACGATATCGACGTGTTAAAATGGCCAGCCCAATCTCCGGATCTCAATCCTATTGAGAACCTTTGGAATGATGTGGAGCAGCATGTAGTGAGGGAAAAACCTAAAAATTTGGCCGATTTATGGAAGGAAGTAGAAAAGGCTTGGAATGGTATTTCAGTGGATTGCTGTATGGCCCTTGTAGAGAGTATGTCAAGGAGACTAGCAGCTGTGATCAAAAATAAAGGATATCCAACTAAGTACTAAGTTTTTAGTAAAATAAGTGTTTTTGTTTTGATACATTTTTAATATGAATAAACTTTTTTGTTTTGTGCTAAAATACTGTCCAGTGTTTTTTTGAGGTTATGCTATTCTGGATAGAAAAACGCAAAATATATATAAAGGGATAATGCTGGACATGATGGGACGTGATCTTAGAAGGACAAGTAACACACATATAAAATATATCATAAAAAAATTTAAGATATATAAAAATATTTGCGTTTAAAAATAGCAAGTATCTAGTGTGCTAACCTCATGGCCACCACTGTATATTAAAAATCTCATAACTTGAGGGTTATTATACCCTCAGTCATATGACTCGCGTCTCATCGAAATAACGGTTTAAAACCCTAGGCCTCGTTGGATCAAATCCATTTCAGGACCTTTGAACTGGATCTAGCGATGTCATGCGGTCTGGTGCGCACGATAACTCTCGACGGGAGTATCCGATTTGGTTCAAACTTGGTACATCGTAATATTATTATCAAACTTAATCCAGATGGGCCGATGGACCGCTACTGTCCACTACTTGTAGTACAACACCCATCATCTCAATATTTCCATCAACACAAGGTCTTTTATAAAGATGGTAGAGATCGGACCACTTCTTCAGGATTTTGAAAGACATTCAAAGAAAGCGAAATAAACATTTCTTCAAATTTCACACACAAATATTTTTGTTAACACCAGATCTGTTGTGAAGATGATATATATCAGCGAACCCCTTCTGGTACTTCACCCACAAAGGATAACTATTTCCAATATTTTAATCTGTCATAACGAACAAGTCAGCGATTCATTAACACTTGCTCTCAACCGAGAAATAATCATAACAGAAGTCAAAATATATTTTAATAATCGGACATTGGCTGAGGGTATACATCAGTCCGCTACAAAAACTTTTTAACTTGGTTTTTGAAATTGTTGTTTACTGGGGATAAAATAAATGTATTCGTTTTCTATTTAAAGTCGACCGGAGCCACGGGACCATGCCAGGTTTTACATGGTATCGTGATATTGAAAATTAAAACGAATATTTGAAAATGTACCTCAACGAAGGCTGAATCTAATTGAAGTGAATTATGTATCTGTAATTTCGTGCCGTTTCAGCATAAAAAATTTTTGCGGATGAATGGGTTGGGCAAGTATTTTTTCCACTAGAGTTATGGTCCAATCCAAACTACGTCCTTGCAAAATTCGGCGTATATTGGTATACAATTCTCAGTTGTAGAGGGGCTGCAAAATATTTCGTTTTTGGTCCAATTCATCTCTTAAATTTTTTGGGAACGTCTCCAAAAATGGGCTTATATTCTGATCTGATTTGTGAGGATCGGGTCATAATAGGAAACTTTTGTTTAACAGCCGAACAAACGAAGAACAAACACGTCTCGGCTCGTAGATTAATACCCTCAACACATTCAGTGTTATGGCATATAAAACTATGGAGTGTGAAAAGATGAACTTTTATATATATACCACTGTAAGTTCTAACTATAAAAATACTACCTCTCAAATTCTACATAAATCTTCTTTCATTTTAGTCAATGCCATTATGCAACACATGCACTACCTCTAAGTAAACCAAATCACAACAAATATCATGGGTATTGCTTAATCGATTAGAATTCTATACGAGATCATCGAAATTAAAAATTCCCACATCATTGCATCTCGGAATGACATTGTAAGGCCAAATATTCTAACCGTCGACGTAGAGCTGCTAGCTGGTTATCCCCCCAAAAAGAGTAGTGGTCACAAAGGAATTATACTTACGATGCTTCTGGCAGCCATCGACATTTTCAGGCCAATCACAGCTGTGGGCATTCTCGTTGTAGAGCAAACCGCCAATGCATAGCTGTTCGGTGGCAGTGCCATTCCAACAAGTCCAGTAGCGGGTACACGATGTTTCATGACCAAATATACCGTACAACCAGTCACAGTGTTCCGTTGAAATTGGACCATCTGCAAAAAAAAAAAAAATACAAAAACAAAAAACACATGAGAAGAACACAAAAATAACATCAGCAACAAAAACATGTAGAATTATAGTACAACAAAAACCCAATGCTCGGCCACACTCTGTTGGCAGAGTGAGTGACATTCACAACGGCCAGAGGCCGCCGCCATTCTCAGCACCTGACTGACTGACCATCAGACACACACACACCATCTGAGATTAAAAACTGACTTCATTGCAACTGGAGTAGAGCATTGAGGGTAAACACTTGCAGGTTGGATGGCAATCACAAGCAATCGTAATGTATCAGTTCCATAAGAACATTTAGGTAAATAGATTTCCAGTAGAACATCGCTTCAAATTGGCCGATCAGGTATTGTTGGGACAACATGCAACAACAACGACAACCAACAAATATCGACAACATTCACAAAATGTTGCTGGAATCGAATCGAGTGAAGAATGAATGTAGAACGGACATGCAAAATGCATTCAATTGAATGTTTTTGTTTTTCTCCTGGTTCGGTGATATGTTGCCGATGCTGCTGCTGTTGTTGTAGTTGTTGTTGACCAAATATATGCCAACCATAAATTGTCACTTTAATAGGTTTGTTAAAGTTCTTTGTTGTAGTTGTTGCGGCTGCTATTACTATTGCATTTGGTGGTGTTGTTACTCCTGCTGATGCTGCTGCTGTTGTTGGCGAACCTGTTTTAACCACTGAAGTTCGGTAGCTATTTGGTTGTCCAACATCATCAGCAGCAGAAATTTCCAAAAGCAATGAGGCAGAACAGTGGTTAAGTAAGCGGGACCAATAAGGTTAATAATGGTCAAAGACCAACATTTTTTTTGGCAAAAGCGAGGGTTCCTATTTATGTGTTGAACGAATTAATCGGTTGGCCTCCTGCGTATAATCATTTATATGAAGGGTTTTCCATTAAGAGGTCCTTTTTTTGATATTTTGAGATATATGCTATGATGTTTATTTAATCGAAAATTAAGGAATCCCATTAATAACGAATAATACCATGAACGAGAATGCTTGCAGGACCATATCTTTTTTATGAAAAAAATGTTTTATAACCGAATCTACTACTACTTCCTACGATAGCCACGCAAATTCCATCTACGACATATTGATGCGGGCCACGTTGTCATAGTCCTTGGCCGTCACCTGGCTCCAAAGAAAAGAGGTGGCAAAGTTTAAAATCAAGAAAACTCGATGGCCAATTGTGATCACATCTTAGAGAAGGAAACATCGTTCTGAAATTTTTCCAGCAATGGTTTCGTTGCTTGTGTGCCATATAGCGCCACCTTGTTGGATATTAATGTCATTCAGATCAATATTATCCAACTCCAATCATCTAATAAATGGATAAACACCGTAGCTGTTAATCCAACCTACCAACAACAAAAGGAGCCATATAAACGACAGTTTAACTTATTGGTGGATCCACCGTGGTGAAAATCAGCCTCCCCAGTCAGAGAGATTTTTTGATAGAATTGTAGGTAATTTTAACCTTTTTGATGGACTCAATTAGCAAGGACATTGTCGCGTTGAGATGGAATATATTGACAAAAGCAGCCAACTTCAGACTGCTGCAGCCAACTTTAGATTGCTGTCATTTCTAAGCCACTCGTCCGACAGCTGTTGAAATTTTTCCAGTGACAGCTCATTATATTGTTTACAAGCGTACAAAAGCATTTTGGTGAGAATTTTCCAGAAAAAAAGTTATTCGTGATGGAATTCAAACGTGAAAGTGTGATTTCTTTATATTTGGCTGGTAAACCACAAGTGGCTATCGTTAAGAGCACTCCAGCATTTAAATGTAAATAAATAATTTTGTGTCTCGTACCATCGCTCGTTCCCGTGATACTGGTAGTGTAGCCCGACTTCAAGGAAGTGGACGGAAGAAAACAGCAACATCAGCAGAAATGGTTTGAAAAGTAAAGAAGCGACTTGATCGAAACCCGCGTCGTAGTAGCCGAAAAATGCCTCGTGAGCTGAACATATCGCAATATTCAATTTGGCAAATATTAAAAATTGGGCTAGGGGTAAAGTCAGTGAAACTCCAAAAAGTGCAAAACCTTACACCGCAACAGAAAGAAAATAGACTCAAAAGAGCTAAAGAGTTGCTTAGCTTGGCCGAAAGTGGTGAACTGCCGAATTTGGTTTTCTGCGATGAGAAAACAATCGTAGTCCAGCAGTTTGTAAACAAACAACTTGTCAAAAAGGTCAGCTGAAAATGTGAACCTTCGGTTGGCCACCAGAACTCAAGCGCCGGCCATGGTGATGGTGTGGGCCGCCATAACAGCCGAAGGTCGCTCTTCGCTTGTATTAATCGACCGTGGCATCGGAATAAATGACGAATATTATAGCGAAAATGTTCTGCAGGGTGTATTAAAGCTTTGGGCAGGCAAACATTTTTACCGCAGACCATGTACATTCCAACAGGACTTAGCACCACCGCACTCAGCACGCGCCACCCAAGAATGGTTACAAAATGAGGTTCCTCGCTTCATTTCCTGCACACAATGACCACCAAAATCTCCGAATACCAATCTGTTGGACTACTGTGTCTGGAGTATTTTGGAAAGCAAGGTTAACACTAAAATATCCCTCAAGCAAGCGCTTCGCCAGGAATGGACCAAAATACCTAAGAGCAATATTCGGGCAGCGTGTGACTGTTTCATTGCCCGTAAATCGTGCCAAAGGTGACCAATTCGAACAAAGGTGAAAATTACTGTGTTTGGCTTTTGCCGTTTTTTTCTCGCCAAGTAAGGTACTAATTTTGGATCAACAATGGCAACAGTAGGACCACAAATATGTGACGATTATGAAATATAAAGAGCACCAACCAACAACGCCAGTATTTGTTGGCTGTGAAACAGATTATTCAGCTTTCGGCTATATACCGTTTGTCGCAAGCAAAAAAACTCTCATTCACGTGCTAATGTCGGTCACATATATGATGAGACGAGGTTTGCTACTGCCTGGCAAAGGGTAGTTAATTATATACCTCCGATTAACAAAATCGATAGCTGGGTATACCTATTCCTAAATGGGTTCAAATTAAGATGAGTGGCCCCAACGAGTTCGATCCATCTGTAAAGGAGTAGACATCTGCTGTTAAAGTTATATTCAGCGAGCTACCGCTCCATCTGCGAAGACTTGGACATCGGAACCCAAATATATCTACGGCGAGTTCGAATACGTATCCCAAAGCGTCCCCCCAGTAAGTTGCCGAATCCGAACGAATCGCGATCTATCTCAGAAGACCTGAACCCGAGACCTGATCCCGAGTATCTCTGAAACCATACGACTTTAGGAGGAGTTTAGAAAAAATCTTTAAAAAATCCACGCCTTGGGGACTTGTGGGAGTCTATTAAAAATCTTTAAAAAATCCACGCCTTGGGGACTTGTGGGAGTCTATTAAAAATCTTTAAAAAATCCACGCCTTGGGGACTTGTGGGAGTCTATTAAAAATCTTTAAAAAATCCACGCCTTGGGGACTTGTGGGAGTCTATTAAAAATCTTTAAAAAATCCACGCCTTGGGGACTTGTGGGAGTCTATTAAAAATCTTTAAAAATCCACACCTTGGGGACTTGTGGGAGTCTATTAAAAATCTTTAAAAAATTCACGCCTTGGGGACTTGTGGGAGTCTATTAAAAATCTTTAAAAAATCCACGCCTTGGGGACTTGTGGGAGTCTATTAAAAATCTTTAAAAAATCCACGCCTTGGGGACTTGTGGGAGTCTATTAAAAATCTTTAAAAAATCCACGCCTTGGGGACTTGTGGGAGTCTATTAAAAATCTTTAAAAAATCCACGCCTTGGGGACTTGTGGGAGTCTATTAAAAATCTTTAAAAATCCACGCCTTGGAGACTTATGAGTGTATTAAAAATCTTTAAAACATCCACACCTTCGAGATTTGTGGGGGTCTATAAAAAATCTTTAAAAAATCCACGCCTTCGAAACTTGTGGGATTCTATAAAAAATCTTTAAAAAACCCACGCCTTGGAGACTTATGGGAGTCTATTAAAAATCTTTAAAAAATCCACACCTTTGAGATTTGTGGGGGTCTATAAAAAATCTTTAAAAAATCCACGCCTTGGGGACTTGTGGGAGTCTATTAAAAATCTTTAAAAAATCCACGCCTTGGGGACTTGTGAGAGTCTATTAAAAATCTTTAAAAATCCACGCCTTGGAAACTTATGGGAGTCTATTAAAAAGCTTTAAAAAATCCACACCTTCCAGATTTGTGGGGGTCTATAAAAAATCTTTAAAAAAATCCACGCTTTCGAAACTTGTGGGATTCTATAAAAAAATCTTTAAAAATTCCACGCCTTGGAGACTTATGGGAGTCTATTAAAAATCTTTAAAAAATCCACACCTTCGAGATTTGTGGGGGTCTATAAGAAATCTTTAAAAAATCCACGCTTTCGAAACTTGTGGGATTCAATAAAAAAATCTTTAAAAAATCCACTCCTTCGGCTCTTGTAGAAGTCTATAAAAAAACTTTAAAAAATCCACTCCTTCGGCTCTTGTAGAAGTCTATAAAAAATCTTTAAAAAATCCACGCTTTCGAAACTTGTGGGATTCTATAAAAAAATCTTTAAAAAATCCACTCCTTCGGCTCTTGTAGAAGTCTATAAAAAATCTTTAAAAATCCACGCCTTGGAGACTTATGGAAGTCTATTAAAAATCTTTAAAAAATCCACACCTTCGAGATTTGTGGGGGTCTATAAAAAATCTTTAAAAAATCCACGCTTTCGAAACTTGTGGGATTCTATAAAAAATCTTTAAAAAATCCACACCTTCGAGATTTGTGGGGGTCTATAAAAAATCTTTAAAAAATCCACGCTTTCGAAACTTGTGGGATTCTATAAAAAAAATTTTTACAAATTCCACTCCTTCGGCTCTTGTAGAAGTCTATAAAAAATCTTTAAAAAATCCACGCTTTCGAAACTTGTGGGATTCTATAAAAAAATCTTTAAAAAATCCACTCCTTCGGCTCTTGTAGAAGTCTATAAAAAATATTTAAAAATCCACGCCTTGGAGACTTATGGGAGTCTATTAAAAATCTTTAAAAAATCCACACCTTCGAGATTTGTGGGGGTCTATAAAAAATCTTTAAAAAATCCACGCTTTCGAAACTTGTGGGATTCTATAAAAAAATCTTTAAAAAATCCACTCCTTCGGCTCTTGTAGAAGTCTATAAAAAATCTTTAAAAAATCCACGCTTTCGAAACTTGTGGGATTCTATAAAAAAATCTTTAAAAAATCCACTCCTTCGGCTCTTGTAGAAGTCTATAAAAAATCTTTAAAAAATCCACGCTTTCGAAACTTGTGGGATTCTATAAAAAAATCTTTAAAAAATCCACTCCTTCGGCTCTTGTAGAAGTCTATAAAAAATCTTTAAAAATCCACGCCTTGGAGACTTATGGGAGTCTATTAAAAATCTTTAAAAATCCACGCCTTGGAGACTTATGGGAGTCTATTAAAAATCTTTAAAAAATCCACGCCTTGGCGACTTGTAAGAGTGTAGAAATAATCTTTAAAAAATCCCCACCTTGGGGACGTTTGGGAGTCTAGAAAATATTGTTAAAAGAACCACGCCTTCGGGAGGAGTCTAGAAAAAAATCTTTAAAGAATCTAATAATCTTTATACTCAATAAGATTTTAAAGATTTTTATAAATATTTTTTTCATGCCTCCAAGTTCCTTGATCAGTGATTTTGAAAAATATGATTTTATGAATCGTCGGTGCTATTGTCTTAGATTTTCCGAAGAATGCTTTATTTAAAGTCATATGGTTTTAATAACATCTCGTTCCCTAACGATTATTTCGGAGCTTCCCCACTAAACAAGATTTTGTGAAAATCACTTTGTTCCCGATTGGCTTCAGTTCGTCACCATTCCGAATGCCAACGTCACGCGAACACAAACCTCGCAATTCTTGATCTTCCTCACTTTTCAACATTTGACAGTCAACCACGAGTATCCGATTACCTTCGAATCGTAGGCTATCAGCCTCTCTCAATGATGAACAACCTGACTACAGCATAGTTCCCAATTGTCCACGAGTCATTCGACTGCTTACCTATTAGACATCGTAAACGTCATATTATTTAAAATGTTGTCCTTTGTTGGGGGAGGTTCTAGAAAGAATGCACCAATATTATCCATTTTTTGGACATGATCTCAGTCTCGTCTTACAATGTGGCTAGCAAGGGAGATTTGAAAATTTTTGTAAAATTTTGAATTTTTTGGGGAGCAACTAGAAAGTGTGGAAGGATATTTCTCATCTAAGAAGATTTGTAAGAATTTTTAAGATGGGCATTCCTTGTTCGACTCCAAATAGCCATATTATTTAAAATGTTGTACCTGTAGTGGGGGAGGTACTAGAAAGAATGCACCAATATTATTCAAGTTTTGGACATGATCTCAGTCTTGTCTTGCAATGTGGCTAGTAATTTGAATAATTTTGGTAAAATTTGTAATTTTTTGGGGAGCAACCAGAAAGAGTGGAAGGATATTTCCCATCTAAGAAGTTTTGTGAGATGGGCATTCCTTGCTCGACTCCAAATAGCCTAAAACGGATCTCAAAAAAAATTTAAAAATCATTAAAATTCCATCGAACCGAAGGAATGTCCTCCCCCATTTGCATAGTACATTTTTTGGAAATTTATCTATCTGTAACTGTTGATATGCTGTATTCGAATAAAATCCATTTAAAAAACCGCAATAAACCATCACCGATTCTAATCCACTGTCCCGTCGACCTCTTGGCATTTTCCGACATAACCAATTTTCTGTGAACAACATATTTGTCCATCCGAATGATGGCAATTCCAAGAGGACAAAAAAAAGTAACCTTACGGTAGTCGGTAGTCGAAGAAAAAATGTGTTCTGCTCAAATCTTTGAAAGCAATTCACTGCTCTGAGTACTCCATGAGTACGGAATGGCAACGATAGCTTCGATGGATGGATAGATGAATTGAATAGTTGTCGTTGTCGTCGTCGTCTTATTAGGGTTTTTCTACGGAAATTGTTGGTGTTTTGTTGCTACTGCTGTTATAACGGATATTTGCCGGTCAACTAACTGATGCTGGAATCTAAAGTGCTTCATTCCAACTGACCATAGGTTAATTTGTTGTACATCATAGAATAAAGAATGTAATACCTATAACATCGACAACAACAGCAACAGCAACTTGACCAAATTAATCTATTAGCACAGCAATTTTGCTAAACGAATTGAGTTTTTTTTTTCAATTTCTTTTCTCTTTTTTGAGGAGGTTTAAAACATTTTTTTCCTTTTTATTTCTTTTCTGGCGATTTTTTTTTCGAGAAATTCAGGGAAAAAATTGCTGAACATTATACCCATAATTGGATTTTATGATTAACTGTGTGTTTTTTTTTCGGAATTGCAGTAGAGAAGGATTATTGAACAAACAGCCAAATGGCAAAGCCTTCAATGATTAAAAATTTCTTTTTTACAATTTTTAACGAATTCCTGCAAAATTTAATATGTATTTTATATTTAAGCAAAAAAAAAAACCCCATTTATTTTCCCCTCCATACTTACTCGCCATTTGTTTGTCCTCGCAATAGTTGGCACGCCATGGATAATCACAGCCTTCCGTTACGCCACGATGTTTGCCAGCAAATACCAGGCCATTTGGACAGTCGTACAATTCCGGTTGGTTGTTGACACATTCCCAATAGCGATCACAATAGGTGACATCGCCGACCACACGTCCTTTAACTTTGCATGGATCCTCCTGGTTTGGTTTCAGTTGTTGAGCCAAGGCACCAGAGCAGACTATTTGCGGAAAAAGAAAAACGAAAAAAAAAATACAAAAAGAGGGAAATTATTAGGATTATAAAAGAGGACCAGAGTGTGTAAGCAATATAAAAATTTAAAATATTGAAATGGCAGATTTCCGCCCAATCAAGAAAGATTTTTATTTATTGAAATACAAGCAAGTGCACGCAACTTCGTCAGCGAAAAGTCTACCTTAAAAATTTTGTTTCGTTCCAACAGCTCATATTTGACCTTTTTAGTACTCAAAATTCAATTTTACCTTCCTATGCAGGTCCACGTCGTTGTATAGAATTTTTTAGATTTTTTTTTTTAATTGCCAAATTTTGCACCAAATGGTGGTGGAGGGTATTCAAAGTTCGCCCCGGCCGAACTTATACCTTTTTTACTTGTTTAATCAAAACTTCATACATCGTACTAAATTTTCTGATTTTCAAGTTTTTCCTTTTTCGGAAAAAAATGAAAAATATTTACCTTTTACACTAAAAACTCTTCAAAATCTTTTATTTTGAAGTTAAGTGAGGAGGATATAAGTAAAAACATTGCATAATGGAACCACATCCAATTTTTCCTGTCCGAAATTATTTCCACTTCTCCATGTGTAAACCCTAAAAACCAACAGTGACCTCAATACCTCCACCATAGATGGTCTGTCAGAAATTAGGACGTATATGACCTAATTTTCCGACGTATCATACAAACGTCGAAAAATTCGTAAACCTAGGCAAATAAAATGCATTTTTGACAGAAACAAAAAGGTTGACAAACGGCAAGCATAAACGGCTATTTTGCAACAACAAAGCACGGTGCTCAACTTGGCCTATGAAAATCTGAAATTAAAGCTTTAATAAAGGCAACAAATGTGACATGAACAATTTTGTAGAGAACATTTTTTTTTAAATTTCTTAGTTTCATAGAACAAAAATCTACCCCCAGGTCTCAGGTTAAGGTCTTCGATGCAACTTTTCCAAATTTGGAAAATTCACACAAGAAACTTATCATCATTACGAGGTTTCAATAATATGATCTGAACATTTATCAACCAACTTGGAATGTATTATGTGGGATATTACAATATTATACATGCTTATGACGTTTTATACTTTTTCTACGTTTTATACAGGCAACTTTTTTACAGTCGAATACAAAAAAAAAAAAAAAATAACGGACCTCAACCCAATATCAAATTTATTAACATTTAGTACCATGTCCATAACAATCTACATCTCGCCATCCCAGACACCAACACTGATCCAAATTTAGTACTTTTCCAACAATTTTGGTACGTATTTTAAAAATTACCACGAGATTTCATCCCTTTAACTTAATTAATAAATTTAGTTCCATTTAGCACGATTATAGTACGCATATCCAAAACTAGCTCCTGCTCTCAAGCGCAACAAGATTCCAGCTCCGGTTCTTCACCTAAGACCAAATTTAGTACTATTTAGTACTTTTCCTACAATGATAGTACAGATTCCCAAAACCAACTCCATATATCAATCCCAGATACAACCAAGGATCTCAATATCAAATTTGAGGATTCCAGCCATATCCCTTCACCCCACACCAAATTTAGTACCATTTATTACTTTTTGTAAAGTTATGGTACACATTTACAAAGACACCTCCATATCACAATTCTACATACCAAGAGGGACCTCAATATCAAATTTAAGGGTTACAGTCCTGTCCCATCGACTAGTACCAAATTTAGTACCATTAAGTACTTTTCGTACAAATATAGGATGCATGTCCAAACCACCGACAATTCTAAAAAACAGATACCCTCAATTATCTAAATATAACAGTTTTAAACTTTATGTCTATCCCTACACCCAATACCATACTTTTCACACAAATATAGAGCGTATATCCAAACCACCGCCAAATCTGAAACACAGATACCACAGCAATGGCAATAAATCTAAATTTAAATACAATTTCAGAATCTTAGCTCTATCCCCTCAACCGAGACAAAATTTAGTACTATTTAGAACTTTCCGTACAATTATAGTACACATTTTCGAAATCACCTCCAAATCTCAATGCCAGATACCAACAGAGACCTCAACATCAAATTTGAAGATTCCAGCCCTATACATTCACCCAATACCAAACTTAGTACTATTTAGTAATTTTCATACAAATATAATACGCATTTCCAAACCACCGGTAAATCTCAGACACAGATACCATCAGTAATCTAAATATCAAATTTCAGAATTTAAACCAAACCAAATCGAAATTTTGTACGATTTAGTACTTTTCGTACAATTTTAGTACTGATTTCCAAAACGACCTCCATATCTCAATTCCAGATACCAACAGAGACCTCAAATTTGTGGATTTCAGCGCTAACCCTTCACCCAATACCAAACATAGTAGTCTTTAGTACTTTTCGTACTTTCTTTTATACCACAGTAGATACCACCAAATTTAGTACTTTTCGTACCATTATAATACATATTTGCGAAACAAATCCATATCTCAATCAAAGATACCAGCAGAGACCTCAAACTCAAATTTTGGCATTCCAGATTACCACCCACCCACACCCAATGCTTAATTTAGTACCTTTTAGAATTCGAACAATTGTAGTACACATTTCCAAAAAAACAATACAATTTGCAAAACTTTCCAACCTTGACTCTCATGCCGAAGCATTTGAAGCTTTTAGCCCTATCCGTTAATATAATACCAAACAGCACTATTTCAGAAGTTTAGTACCATTTTAGAGCTTTTCGTAATCTTAAAGTTCGAATTTCCAAAAAAACCCTTTGGTACATCTTTCCTGACTCCCACGTCAAATTTCAGAATTCTTGCTCATTTCGTTTGTGATTTGTATTTCAAATTTACATTCAAATTTAATACATTTTAGTACTTTTGGACCATTTTAGTACGAATTTCCAAAAAAATCATAAATCAGGTTTATTCCGTTTGTCCAGTACAAAGTATTAATATTTTAGCGCAATCCTGCACTTTTCATATCCTTTTAGTACGAATTTCCAAAAAAACCTAACACGGCTACGCACCAAAACGGGCCCTCGTGCCAAATTTTAAGATTTCAGCGTTCCGAGGCCAGTCATTTATTGCACTTAATAAAAAGAGCATTTCATTATTGCTGTCGGATTAAGGTCTTCAGACTTCAGATAGTTTTGCTCTAATACAGACAAACATTTACAGAAAATCGAACATGAATTATTGATTCCCCGTCTAAGTGATTTATTCTTATTCAATATTTTGACATTTTGTGCGGGAGCATCAGCAATAGTGCCCATCTCCGCATTAGTTCTAAGTTTGGTAAAAATTTTACGAACCAATTTCAATACTCCCTAAATCATCGTGCGCACAGAATGAAAGCAGGACTGACGGACATGTCTAGATCGACTCCAAATTTTATAAAACATATTTTATCCATGATATCTGGCTAATGCCATTATTTCGCTATTTTGATCATATACATACACATATAGATACACGCATCTGCATCATTTGAGAGAACCACGTTATTTGGTCCGTTCCAAACAATTCCTTGAACGCTTCTTTCAATTTATCATACCATTTTCCTTACAAATCAATTACAAATCGATCGAAAACAACAAACAACTTTTGTCCCAATAAACAATTACCTGGCAAAAAACGAAAACTTCTTATCTCTCCCCATCCCTCCCTCAATACAAGATTTATTTTCACAAAAATTTTGCAAATAAGCCAAATAAACTTCCATGAAAAATAATCTCTGTAGTTTAACACAAGCCAAGACACAAGAAACGGAAAACTGTATCGAATTACAGTTAATCTAAGGGAAATTTCCTTTGTAAATTGACCATAAATCCATATGGACACATAAGCCTGTAATTGTGGTAAGTTACTGCCAGAGAAAGTTTCAGGGAAATTAGTTTCAATTTTGTGTTTAGTCAGGTAAGGTGTGCGGACCAAAAAAAAAAAACTGAATAAAGTTAATGCTATCAAGAAGTAAATATTTCAGCTTTAGTAACTGCGTAATTGAATTAGGTAAAGCTTGTTAAAAGTATTTGATGTTTTCTTGTTCGGTATTTGTGGTGAGTAATGGAATTAGGGGTTTAACCTTCACCTAAAGAAGAAAGGGAATGTCAGTGTTGTAATTAATTTGTAGTTAATAATAAAAAACAATTTGCAAACCAATAAGGGGATGGCATTGTATGACAATCTGATACCCTAGACTACAATGCCACAAATACCTGAAAATTTTCCAGAATGCATCAAAAATAAAATTAATTTAGGAACAAATATGTGGAGGCAAGAGCCATGGCAATGCCATGATTCAATAAAAATTCATTAAAATGGGATGACATTCCAAAATTGGGGTCTCTGTTGCAGAATTTTGGCTCTGGCTCACATTGGCGTCGGGATATGTTTCGCACCTGAAAACACATACAGGGTGAGTGAGGGCAACAAATTTCAGACTACTGTCATTTCTAAGCCATCCGTCCGAAAGCTGTTAAAATTATTCCAGTGACAGCTCATTATATTGTTCACAAGCGTACAGAAGCATTTTGGTGAGAATTTCTCAAAAAACAGTTATCCGTGATGGAATTCAAGCGTGATAGTGTGATTTCTTTATATTTGACTAGAAAACCACAAGTGGCTATCGTTACAGGACTCCAGCATTTACATATGAATAAATCTTTGGTGTCTAGTATCATAGCTCGTTACCGTAATACCGGTAGCGTAGACCGACGTCAAGGAAGTGGACGGAAGAAAACAGCAACATCAGCAGAAAGGGTTCGAAAAGTAAAGAAGCGACTTGATCGAAACACGCGTCGCAGTGGCCGAAAAATGGCTCGTGAGCGGAACATATCGCAATATTCCATTCGGCAAATATTGGAAAATGAGCTCGGGGTAAAGCCATTGAAATTCGAAAAAGTGCAAGAACTTACACCGCAACAGAAAGAAAATAGACTCAAAAAAGCTAAAGAGTTGCTTCGCTTGGCCGAAAGTGGTGAACTGCCGAATTT